CGCCATTGGCTTGGATCCTGGAAAAGGACAGGCTTTTGTGTCTTGGTTTAACAAACACTTCCATCCACTTTGGGGAGGAAAGGGCAGAAGTAGCATCGTGCCTGAGCAGCTCAGTGGGATGTTCAGAAGCAGGAGCCTTGACTTGAGTTTGCACAAGTTGCATCCACGGGAAATTTCCTGTCCTTCTTCAGAAAACAGTAAAAGGTGCAAAATTTTAGTCACTCTGTCCACATAGTGCATGTTCTCAAGATTCTGAAGTTCGGGAGATAAGTTTAAGTATCAGGGCTGCTTTCCCACAGGGAGCCTGAGAGATTCCAGGGACTTCCAAGCTTCACACAGCAGCTCTGCTTACACAGTCATGCCCCTTTCACAAAGCTCTCCATCTAGGAAGACAAGAATGGGGTGCATTGCCAGAGTAGTTTTTCTCTCAGCCCTTTCTTGCATCCTTTACACGATGATCTCATTGCTTGTCCTGTGTCCTATGATTTTAATTTTCCCTACAGTAAAACAATGTATTTAAACATCCTTGTAAACTTTCAGCTCATTGTCACAGGGTGATGCTGCGACAGTGACATTTGCTCTTCTTTCAGCCGGTTTTCCTTAATGAAGTCCTCGTGAAACTGCCCACAGACCCTTCAAGCGATGAGCCAGTTTTCCACATATCACACATCGACAGAGTTTACACACTTAAAACTGACAACATCAACGAGCGGTGAGTAGTGACAGTGCAGGTCTGAGCCTAAACTTGCAGATCGAGGCTGCAGGCCGTGTCTCCAGTGAGCAGACATGGGGGGCTCTCAGCTCAAGAATAGGGTTTAGTCCCTTGGTCAGGAAATAAGCCCACTTGACTCTCATTTGAATGACAGGTTTTCTCTGATTTTGTTCTGCTTGTGCAGCAGCTCTTGCAGTGGAATTCAGCCACATCTGCTGCTCCTTGATGTTACTGTTGTACAGAAGAATAGTTTAGGGCTGCAAAGTCCAGCATCCCATAGGATTCTTCCCCAGTCCTGGTCAGTTTTTAATGTGACTCAGCAGTCTTTAATAAAACAGCAGCTCCACTTTTTGTTTATTTAGTCTAATTTGGAATGTGGCATTAAGATTAAATCCAAAAACTCCATCACTTTAGTCTGTGACCTAACTTGATTTGTGATGCCTCTGAAACCCAGGGAGGGGGGAATGGCAAAAGAGATTGGGGCAGAGTCACTGATGCTGAAGACTTCCCTGCCTGTGGGATGACCCTGACTGTAGGGATTGCTCTTTGCAGTACTGCCTGGGTCCAGAAAATCAAAGCGGCATCAGAGCAGTACATCGAAACAGAGAAGAAGAAACGTGAAAAGGCTTATCAAGGTACCTACAGAGTTCTGCATTTCCTTCTCATCCACCTGGAGGATGCCACAGTGTCTGTGCAGGATCTCCCTCCTCAGATCTATTGCCAGTTTTTACAGTTCCAACCAATCCATTTATTTCTGACCTCTCTGTTCCCAGCTCGCTCGCAGAAAACCTCAGGAATAGGACGTTTGATGGTGCACGTGATTGAAGCAACAGAACTAAAGGCCTGTAAGCCCAATGGTAAGTGAGGGAAACAGTCTCATCACTTTTATTCCTGTAACATTTGGAAAGGCTTGCTGAGAGGAGGTTGGTGATTTGGGAAACACTGTGGTTCAGCTACAGTTTCTGTATGAATTAGCCATTCCTTAGCTTCAGAGGAACAAATGAACCAGCTCTGTGCTGCTGTGGGATATAGGGATTGCCTGATCCACATCTGGGCAGCAGCATCGATGTGTGTCCAGGGAGGCTCCAGATGGAGAGGAGGTTTCTGCACTGCAGGGGGTTTTCACTCCCTGTTCTGTGTTTAGGGAAGAGCAACCCGTACTGTGAGATCAGCATGGGCTCACAGAGCTACACTACCAGAACCATGCAGGACACCCTGAACCCCAAGTGGAACTTCAACTGCCAGTTCTTCATCAAGGACCTGTATCAGGATGTCCTGTGTATCACCATGTTTGACAGGGATCAGTTCTCACCAGATGGTAAGTGTGGACATTTAGGAAAAGCAGCAGTTCTGAGAGCCTGTGGGTCTGATTGCTGCCTGGGAAATGTTGTGTAAAAGCAGTGCCTCAGGACACAGGAGGTTCAGTAGCTTTCCAGAGCCAGCAGCTCCAGGCAGTCAGATTTGATCCCACTCTGGCTTTTATGTCAGACACGGTATTATTTTTTTTTTTGTCAGACTGGGCAGACAGAGATTTTGAAAGCAGAAGTTTTACTCTCTCACTATAGGTACCCAAAAATAAGGTGCCAGGTTGTATTTGCACAGCAACAGCTTGATAAGCTTGCTTGTTTTGCTTGGAAACAACACGGTTTTGGCTGTCAGGTACTCCCTAAAAGTTTAAATGCTCTTTCAGGGCTGACATGTGGTTGATTATTGCAGATTTGCTAGGAACTGCCTTAACCTGAGGTGCCATGTATGTAACTATAGCTCAGTCTTTTCTCCTGTGAGGTAACATGACTTTGGCTGCTTCTCCCAGCCGGACAGCAGTCTGTTGTTTTTTCAGTCCACAGTGAGCCTTTTAATGCACAGACACACACAAAGATGTTGTATAAGAAATGGCCACAAAGAAGGTATATGATTTCTGAATAGAACTGTAAACCTACTAGTGGTAGTAATTGTTCAAAGTCACTGTTCTTGTGAGAAGAATGATATATAAGCTTAGTTAAAAGTTGACTGAGCCAAAACAGTTCATTTTTTTTATTGTCTTTGTGGCACCTCAGCTGATTTGTAAACAGGTTCTATCACCTAACTCTGACCTGCCAGCTCTAAAACTGGAGAACATTTGAAATTGTGTTTCTGAAAGGGTATTTTCTAAGAGTGTTTTTAAAGCCCTAAGCTCAAACTGTGACAATAAAGGCATGTTCTCCATCCTAAATCCATAGCATTTTTGTCTTCTAAAAAGACCCTTTTTTGTCACTGCTGGCTGGTTTACACAGGGCTGAGGGCCAGTCAAACAGGAAACCTGGGAGCAGTGCTCTGGAACTGAACACCTACTATGCAGCATTGCTGCTTAACCTGACTCTTTCAGGTTTTCTAAGCTGTCCTTGCCTAATGAAATGTCTTACTCACTTGCCCAACAGATTTTTTGGGTCGCACCGAAGTTCCAGTAGCAAAAATCCGAACAGAACAAGAGAGCAAAGGCCCCATGACTAAACACTTATTGCTGCATGAAGTTCCAACTGGAGAAGTCTGGGTTCGCTTTGACCTGCAGCTCTTCGATCAGAAAACACTCTTCTAAGAACACCTTTTTTTAATTTATGAAGGACAACTGAAGCTGACAGACTGAATATCTTTTGGTAGAAGATTCCTTGCCCCACGCTGGTTATTAAGCAAGAGCTCCTGCTGCCTCTGTGTTTCCTCTTAGTTCCTGCTTGTGCTTAGTTCCTTGCAGTGTTCCCAGTTGTTGTTGATCTATGCAAACACAAATGTTACTGTATATACAGTACTATAGCTCAGTGCCTTTTTATTATGTTGGAATATCTTGGGTTTGGATGCCAATGTTTCCATTTTCAGGGCCATAAAAAGTATTAAGTAGAAATGTGGCACCAAGCTGTTTGTATATTTTACCACTTGGTCTGACAGACAGACTGAGGAATGGTTTAAGCTCAGCACTGGAATCATTCCATTTGAAATCCTAAAAGTGATATCCACTGGAATCTTCCTGTCTCAGGATGATGGTTTTAAAGGTAAAATGCTGAAGAAGCCTTAGCACTGGAGAAGTCTCCGATATATTGTATATTCTTTAAGAATCAAGTGTAGTTCTTTACTTGACTTAGTTCTGCACTGGAATCAGTAACTGCTACTTGATTTTAATTTCTGCTTCAGTTTGATTCATCATTCTCTGCTGAGACAATGTTGTTGTGAAGAATAACTAGAAAAAATATTTTAAATACTGTGACCCACAATAATGTGGCAAAATACCCTTCAGCTTTTGGGGTTTTTTTCCTAAATATAAGTTATTTGTGTACATTTCCTTGGTCTTGCAGACCTCCATGTGAATCTTGAAGCTTTGACATTGCCAACATGTATATAGAGAGTAAAATATAAGTTTATTAATGTAATTTGTCTACAGATGTTTATTGATTTTTAAAAAGTATATTTTATTGTACAGGGGAATGTGAAATAATGAGAAAAACTTACAGGATTCGTTCAAGAAAAGTTTATTATAAGTTTAAAAGGTTCGCTTGGGGGGAACTACACCCCAACACAAACCTGCAAAAAGAGCTGGTTGAAAGCAAAAGCTTTCTCTTGGCACCAAATCAGGGATGGTTAAAAAAAAAAAGTTTGTTTATAAAATGTTTGATACATTGTAACCATTGTACTGCCTCCTTAAACTGCCTTGTTGTGGAAGCACAGCGTGCAGTTCTGAGCAGCCCTTTCCACGGGTGCAGCAATTCCTCCTGAAGTCTGGCAGTTTCCCATGCAGTCACCATCTGTGCACCCTCCTCTTACTGAGTCAACCTCTGTTACTTTTAACAGTTTTCTGTGGTTCAGTATTTCTAATCCTAAATAAAACTCAATCTTGGCAACTCTTGAGAGATTGTGTCTGTACAGTGAGAGTTTGGAGTTTCCAGGCTTTGAGACCAGAGCTGCTGTGCAGCCAGACTAGGGGGGAGATGGGACCACACTGGAACGGGAGAGAAACTGGTTTGTGGGGCACTGGCTCAGCTGCTGCTCAGCACAGACTCTCTGAAAAGCACTTCCCATCTCCTCTCCCCTACTTATTTCCTGCTTTCTCAGAACACCTAATATGTATGTTCAAAGTTTGATTTACTGCTTGTACACTGTGTTCAGGAGAGAATACCAGCACTGTCTTTGTTGAGCTGAGCCTAAGTTAAATCTCCTAAAACAGCAGGTTTTGGCTTGTAGAGCATGAACTGGAGCTGGCAAAGACAGGAGCAGCATCCCAGACATTTCTTTGGCTGCTGGGTAACAACACTTCAGAACCACGTTCAAGACAGTAAGTTTATTGCAGTTTGCCAGAAGACCTGGCCTGTTATCACTTGCTTTGGCAGCAGATGTAACCTGTTTTATAAAGGGTACCTTCTGATGGCTGTGCTTGCTGCTCTGGTCAGCTGGGGGACAGGTGACATCATTGGCTCTCGCTGTCATTGTGGTGATTGATGACTTTCATTCTTTAAACAGAAGGAAAAACTGTTGCCATGCTCCTGTAAAGATCAGCTGAGCTCCCAGAGTAGTTCCTTCTACAGAGCACACACACAGCTTGCCTGGGAATTCTCCAACCCTCCTTAGACAGGACATACTCCCTGTGCTGCCACAGTGGATTTGAAATGAGGAAAACAAACCTCCCCCCTGCCATTGCCAAATCTGGGCTTAGTATGGATCCAAACCACATTCCTGCTGAAAACCATGTTCAAATACTCTTGGGCTTAAATGCAGTAGGAGCTGGGACCCATATTTGTTCAGGTAATAAAACTAGAATGTGTTTCTCTACAGCAGCACGTCAGTAACATGCTCTGCCCCCTAACTATGAACTGCCTGCTGGTCAAAGGAGAACTCCAAACCTCACACCTTCCAGCAGTCTGTGCACATCTTCTGGGAGAACGGATCATACTCTGATGGGTCAAAGTGGTCCAAAAACACATAGCCCTGTGGGAGAAGCAGGTAGTGGGTCAGGTCTCAGAAGCCTTAGGTGATAAAACGGTGAGAGCAGCCAGCCTGGGTGGGACACAGCCTGTGACAGACATGGTCAAGAAAAGGGCTTCCAAATTTTCATACACTGCACCTCAGAAATAAGGTGACTGAAGTGTAACAGGAAAATTCCTCTATCCATTTTAATTTATTACAGGCATAAATACATAATACATGATTTCATGGAGCATCCAGAAATAATTTCAGGCTAAGATGCTAACCTTAACTAGGGCAGTCAAGACAGTGGAAATTTTGTTCAAGGGAAAATGTTTTGGCAGAGAAGGAAACAGCTATTGAAAAGAAAAAAAGAAAGGAGTGAGTGAGCCCTCAGCAGGCACAGCCCTAGGCAGGTCACTGGTCTGGGTTCATGAGCCGGCTTTTCCATCTAGACATAAAAGACCTGAGCCACACTTCATAGTTCAGGTCACAGCTCCCTCTCATCAAAAACTCTGCCTGCAACAATCAACATGTTCTGCAGTTCAAGTTCCCTATAACAAGCACATAAAATACTCCTCCCTAATATTCATTCTTACAAAACCTTGGAAATGAAGTTTTTAATCTTGCTTGTGTAGGTGATTCTCCAGGGATCCCAGGAAGGAAGGGAGCATTCAGCCCATGGCCTCCTAGATCTCAGCCCTACACAGTTCATCATGGCAATCTGTGGATGTGATTTCAAGACTTGGAAAAAACCATACTTTAACCTGAACAGCTCAGGAGCTCTGCAAGACAAGTCCAACCAAAAAAAAAAAAAAAAGTGGGATCTACAGTAGATTTAAGAGATCACTGTGCTGAAGCAGCTCACAGAGAAGTGAGCCAGGCCCCGAGGGCCTGTGCTATTCCCAGACACTCAGGAAGCACCGTGGGGCTTCTCTACTGCTGAGTGCAAATGCTGCCTCTGCAGGGGCCTCTGCTCCTCAGGATCTGGCAATTCCCCACACAACAAGCAGCAGCCACACTCATCATCTCATGTTTCTGTCCCTGGAAAGCTTCAAGCCCTAACAGAGCTCAATTTGCAGAGTTTTAGTGCCACCCCTTGGTTTATTATCACATATCACCCCTTTACAGGGTGTGCTGAGACCTCAGTGGATCACAGAGGTGCTTTGCTGCACTCCCAGGTCTGATCCCTTCATGCAGTCGATGCATTACCCCTCACACAGCCCTTGGAATAAGGCAGAGTAACAGCTCTTCAAAATGAGAAGGGGGGTCTCTTTCTGTGCAGCACACAATGCCTACAATAGCCTGGACTACCAGAGGCTGAGTTGTGGCTAACACAGCAGCAAGCCAGGCAGGGGAATCCCCTCTCCTTGCAGGCTGCACTGTCACACTGCCATCTTCACTCTGTGACCAACCATCTCGTTAGGCACCCGCAGTTCATGCCCACAGGACTGGAGGGGAGGAGCAGTGAGAAAGGCAGTGAAAAGGAGGCAGATTTGAGGCAAAAAACCCCACATATGAGCAGGTCATTGGAAGAACAGGGAGGGAGGTGAAGGAGGAGAGGTCAGATGGTGTGAAAAAGGCAGATGAGTGAGCTGACAAAGACTGAGATGGAGGAACTTGGAAAAACAGTGAGGGGAGGAGGAGAATGGAGGAAAGGGGAAAAAGACAGCTTTGGAAAGCAAAGGGCAGTGAAGAACTTGAAGGAATTATCAGAAGCAACAAGAAGATGGAGACAGAGCAGTGGGGAGTGTGACAGAAGAAAGAGGGGCAAAACAGGTCTATGGATGGAGTAAAAGAGTTGACTGGAGAAAGAGAGCAAGAGGAGAGACTGGAGGAAGAATAACAGACATGGAAAGAAGGAATGGACCAATCGCAGGCATGGGAAGCTCAGGAGATCTGGGAAACAGGAGAAGCCTAATAGCAGGGAAGAGAGCAAATGGACAAAGAGAAGGGGGTGAGGGGAAAATACATAGCCAGAAGTCAGTATATAAACCAATCTACAGAAATGTTTCAAGTTCTGCAAAATGTATCATGTGCTGCCACGGTTAATGCAAACTTATGCAAGTGAGTTGTCCTGTAACTCTGAAGGGCTTCAACCTGCTCTGCAGACATGCTGATGATAGAGCGGACACCACAGAGCAAGGGGAAAAGGTGGAGGATGATCGCTGGTGCTGGTGCTTCCCTTCCAGGAGGACACATCCCAGCACATCAGCCATCGCTTTTGGAGGACACCCAGCAAATTCCTGACCTGACACAGAAGCTTGGAAGCGGACTGATGCAGACCCAGATATGTACAGTACACCCAACATATCCTAAATCCTAGCACATCAGCAGTAAGACTAGTTCGGGTCTTTGTTGTTCCATGCAGTTTAAATGCATGGGTCTGTCACATCAGGCCTTTGAAAAAGAAATCATTTGCTCTCATTAAAACAACACAGCTCCCGTGACATTTTCATTTCTGACTGAGAAGGTTGTTTACAGTCTCATGACTCCACCATGCAGTGGTTTCCACTGACAACAAATGCCTGCTCTCAATAAAATATAATCATTTTCGTGGCAGATTATGTAACTGTTCTTACTGCTCTATATTTCCATTCCTGAGATGCAGAAAATTGAGTTGTGGGATTTGATACTCAACAGTGGTGTGAAATTCAGAGCAAAATGAAGAAAACCAACAAGTATTTCCTACAGTGACTGCACTTTTTCTGAGTACTGGAACCCATGGAACTACAAAAAGTTGGGTCTATTGCCTGTATACAGACTTCAAGAAAATTGTTTGTATCTCCCTGTTCCCACATTTTTTTTCTTTTATGAAGCTTGATCAGTAGCATCCAAGGCCCCAAAATCATTTCATTCGTGCTCTGCCAACATACTGCAGTAGTGATGTAGCTTAACTTCTGAGATATGAGAGTGCAGTCCACTCCCTGCTCAGTCAGCCTTTGATTTCAGCTGACAGAGCTCAGTTTTTCCCACTACATAATCCGGCTCACAGAGGGAAATACACATCAATATGGTGTCTCATCATATTCAGACCCAAGCACGGCTATTGTTTGTATCTGATGGTGAACTTAAACAGCTCTAACATCATATGTCACCATTACAGAAGTCCTTGGGAAAGAAAGGTAAGTTACAGGTAAGGTGTATCTGAATTCCAGGCTACTCAATGGACAGCAAATAGCAGCTAAACCCCTGATCTTGTCCAAAGCCCTCCCTATGCAACCCTCTCCATGACACAAATTTACTTCTCCTTGATACCTTCTTTTTACAGTAGTTTAAATACTGAGACAATTGTTCTTGTTTCCTTTTCTGCATTTCTTCAATTGACTGGCTGCCCATTTCGTCCTCAATTTTCTGCAGCACTGGCTCTAAAACATCCTTAAGCCATTCTTTGTACACGATCTCCTTCTTTCTCAGATTTAGGAAATCATTGTGCCTTATGTATCTGTCCACCTCCTAAGTAAGAAATGGAAAATAAAAACCATACAAATTATTGGCCGAGCACATGAAAGGTTTCACAGGTGAAGGCTGGCTCATCTGACTGGTCTCTGCTCCAAGGGCCCTGTTTTCCAGCCCTTCTTTGTACTCCTCCCTCTCTCCTCTTCCCACCACTCATTTCCAACCTCTCGCTTGCAAGAGCTCTGGCATTCAGACCCTTAATTTTTGAAACCGTGGTGCAAGATGGCAGAAAATTACTCACTTTTTCCCATCAGGTTATTGAGCTGAAATCACTGCAGAACAGGGGGCTGATAAGCAGCAGACTGTGCAAGACAGGCAGCAGGAGAGGGACCCTCTCCCTGCAGCACTGGCAGTGTGCTAGATCAGATCAAATCAGATCAGATCAGCCCTGCTGCCCTTTGCTCAAAGCCTCACTGACCAACTAACCACACCCACAGAGCAAATATTAGGTGCAAACAGGCAGGTACGTTACCTGTGATTCACATTTAGGGTTACTACTTCAGTCATATCCAGAGGAGAGGCCACAAACTCATACTTCTAAAGTAGTTTTTCAAGAATACAGACAATTAACATTTTCTCACAAATCACTGACTGGAAACTAGAACACACTGACATGCAGGAAAGCACACAACAAATGAGAAAAGAGGTACCACTTCTTACCCTCACAAAACAATTTTCTCTGTCCAAGATGCACTGAACAGAAGCAATGATGTCTCGGCTTTGGTCAGGTGTTACCTAACAGAACATTAAAAACCCACATGAAGTAAAAGCAGGACTCAGACTAGGAGTCAGATTTACTTTTGAATTCAAAATAATCACTGGTGTTGTGATTAAAGGCACATTATACCATAACCCAGCTGGCAAATCCTTGTGAGACTTGCTCGGAACACTGGGGATAAGTAGCAACAGAAGAGTGTTGGAAGAAGTGGAATGGGAACAGGAATGTACATGTTAAGACCATACACCTCCTTGGCTGCCCCTCACCATGACCACACACCACTTGCTCCTTGCCACTGTTGCTCACCTGTGCCAAACCTGTGGCTCATAAACTCAACTCCTGCACTGCAGCCAAGGAGCACAAGCAATACAGACCAAATCCATCTATCACCTGGGGATGGAATTCCTGCAGGGAAGATGAGCGGGGTACCTCCCCTGCAACAACTCTGTGGGTTAACCAGAGAGACCTTGTCTTCACGAGTCCATCAGCAGCTTCTACAAGAAACAAGTTGTCCAGGTTTTGGCTGGGATAGAGTTAATTTTCTTTCTAGTAGCTGGTACAGTGCTGTGTTTTGAATTTAGGATGAGAGTAATGTTGATAACACACTGATGTTTTAATTGTTGCTAAGCAGTGTTTACACTAAGCCAAGGTTTTCTCAGCTTCTCTCCCCATCCCACCAGTGAGCAAGCTGGGGGGGTCACAAGGAGCTGGGAGGGGACACGGCTGGGACAGCTGACCCCAACTGACAAAGGGTTATCCCAAACCTCAACTGACCTGGTTTTACTCAGGCCTAAGCCAGAGGCAGGGCTGAAACATTCACATTTCACCTGTCTGACCTGCTGCCTCCTCCCGTGGTTTCCATAGACAAATTCAAAGTCACCTCTGCTGCGACTTCCTTCTACTGTTTCAAAACTGAGCTACAGCCACAGCATTTTTGCACGAGCACACCATACCAGTGGCAGCACAGACTCAGGAATGCATTTGATGCACAGAATGGAAAATTAGCCTGCTACTCCCTGTGCTTAATATTGATTCTTAATTCCAATAAACAGTGTAGTTTCCAGTCATGTCTGTCTTGACCTTGCTGACCAGCTCCACACTCCAACACATTTATTATCCTGAGAGGAGCGGGACATCATACATCAGACCAGGCAAGGAAAGGACAAGTAGTACTAAAAAACCACCAAAAACAAATGAGAAGAGGAAATCTAAATTGCTGGCACGTTTTAAGACCCTTTCATCCTACTATGTGAAACAACTGGTATGTTGTATTACACCTGACAAATCTACTTCATATAATCACAGATCCTTTCTAAAACCAGCACCGTAACAGCAGCAGGGAGACACAGCCATCACTCCAGCTGAGAACCACCAGCAGAAAGTACTCAGAACACACACTGGTGAGTAGGTGATAAGTCGTCCTTCAGGATGATCCCTGTCTGAAGACTCCTTAAGAACCAAAGGAATTAGGTCTCCTTTGACTGAAGGAATTCAGTCTATTCTCCCTGCAAAAGAGCAGGCTCAGGGGGAGCCTCATCACAGTACTTATAGAGCAGCTACAAAGAGGACGGAGGTTCTCTCTGCACCAGAAGCCACAGGGAGGAGACAAGGGGTAAGAGGTACAAGTTGCATTGGCTGAAGTTTCATCTCAATAAAAGAAAGAAATTTTTTAGAGTGAGATCAATCATTCACTGGAACAACCTCCCCAGGGATGTGGTGGAGTCCCCATCACTGAAGGTTTTCAAGATGTGATTGGACAGGGTGCTAGACAACCTCATCTGGTGCCTCTTTCCCAAGAAAGGTTGAACCAGATGATCTTTCAAGGTCCCTTCCAGCTGAGGCTGTTCCATGAGTCTGTGACTAGTCACAAGCTTGTTTCAGGTTTTATGGGAAACCTTTCCACATACCAAACTGCAAGTAACTCAAAAAAGTTGCCTCAAAAGGATGCAAGAGCTTGATAAAACCCATTGAGTTGGTTGCTTTTTACAGAGTTTTTTGTTCTTCTCCATGACAAACACATCTCAGATTTTGCAGAACTTTGCAAATAATTATTTTTCATTCCTCCCTTCATAACTTCCATTTCATTCCTCCACTCATATCTTTGCACAACAGAAGCCCTTCTGTGTTAGGCAATCTTTGGCAATAATTTTCTTCTGCAGTCAAAAGTATTTGCTGTGACACTCTTTGCTGGTGCTGAGGAGAACCTCTGGATAAAAAGGTAAAGAAAGGGCGAGGTCTGCATAAAAAGCCAACCTGCTTTACAAAGATCAGGCCCTCATCCAGGTTCCACAATCAAGCTACAAACTGCGATGGAGCAGTAGGAAGTAACAAACACTGCAATAACCATTCCTGAGTGTGCCCAGAAGGGACAGACTGAGACACAAGGCTCCTGCTGGCTCACAGATGAATTCAGGCACATGCCAGGGACAGCAGTCTGGCACAGACAGACAGACCAGAACACTGTCCAGAATTCAGTGGGATTAGGTGGCCAGTTCCAACATAGAAGCCCAATTACACACAACTACTCTGGACTCCCAGTTGCAGATACTGGTTTCCTGTGATCCTTCACAGTAGAACCTACAGCTGAAGAACTGTTGGGAGGCACTAACCTGCCAAGGCCATGGCTGATCAGGTTCTTTCACAGGTCTCAGATGTGTCATTATTTTTAGCCAGGGAGTCTCTGAGCTGTTCATACTGTGCATGGTTGGAATAATCTGGGAGAAACATTAAAACAGCCAAAAACATACAGAACTATTGTATAAACAGCAAAAACCTCATTTTCTTACAATTCCTACCAACTGATGAAGCAAATCTCTAAAGGAATTCTAATTGCTGATGCCAGCAGCATTCTCCTGTCATAGCAAGTAAAACAGAGATTAAGCATCAGGTTTACAGTCAGGTACTGCCTCTGGTGGGACTGTCTGTCCTCATCTCCACAAACAAGGGACAGTACATTTTGTTTCAAAGAACAGTGGTTCACAAATCATTCCAGAATGCCTGTCAGCTTTAAAAACATTTCAGAGTTATCAAATTCCACCTCTGGACTATTACTTATTTCCTTTGTTCCTTTTTCAGTCACATAAAAGTCACTTTCAAGTAACTGCTACATCCCCCCCAAGGATGGCTGCGTTTTAGTGGGTTTTAAAGTCAGTTCTACCAGACAAAGCTTATGCTGAAGCACAAACTCTGAGCTCCAGCCAGAAAATTCCATCTCCTCTCTTGTATGTGCCTCAGTATATCTGAATCAATTTATAAAGAGACAGGAGAACTACAGAGGCAAAATGCCTTTTACAGGAACCTGCACTTAAACCTCTTTATTTCAGATTCACTGGAGACACACTGCTTCCAGGAAACAATGGATTCACAAAATTACTTAGGTAAAGAGTGGAACAAAAGAAAAGCTTATTTCTGCAGAGATACTGACCTCAAGTCTTCAGCCAGATCTTTCAATTACGAAAATAAATTCTGTTCTTCGATTATTTTTTGCAACATCCAGTTAAAAGAATCTGCAAAGACTCTCCAAATCAGATATTCATAGAAGGTAACAATATTTTTTGCACAAGACAATATTTAAAAGTTTACTCTGTCCAACCCAGCACTTCAGTGTCAATATCTGACTCGCAGCTGGCCTCTCTGGATTGCAGATTCAAATCTCTTACCATCAGTTCAAGGTGCAGACTGTAATCTGTAGCTTTATTTGTTTCATTTCACATATCCCTGCCTGGATATTCCTGCTTCCTCACAGAAATGCTTTCCTGTCTTTTCTGACTGAAAGAGTCAGAAACCACAGGAAAGCGTGTGTTGGAAGGGTTCTCAGGAGTCCCAGTCCCATGCCAGCTTGAAGAAGAGCAAACCTCACAGACAGGATTGCTTAGGGTCTCGCCCAGCCAAGTTCTGAAAATTCCCTTCCTCAAATTTGAAAGCTCGTGTCCTTCCCTCCAACTGCTTCTATAAAAGAAAAATCCTCATTTCTGCCATGTAATCCAGGTCAAACCAAATTAAGGGGAAAAAAACAATGTAATGCACATGGTACCAGGGACTTTCCTTCCCTCCTGCATAACTCTGCCAGATTTCTATTCTTTCATCAGACACAAAGAAAACTAAAAATTTGCAGTGGAGTAGGTCACAACAACCCAGTTCTCTACAAAATTTTTTCAGCCCCAGTAAGTCAGGCTCCAAACCCAGAAATACACACTGGCCTTGGCAGTGTGGCAGCCCAGCAGGTCCTTCCTCTGTAGTGATTCCCTGCCTTCTCTGTACAGAGGAGACGAGACACAGAAGAAAATACGGAGTTATAATTAGGACACAGGATTTGGAAAGCAGGTGTCCTGCTACTTTCCATGTGGAAATGAACATTTTTTTGTCTACATGTGCCCCCCTATGGCCCCTGTAGAGAACTGTGCCATGGAGACTGGCGTTCCCTGTGAGAAGCCCCGTGCTCCAAAAACAATCTCCCTTTTATCCAGACAGCCCAAGTCTACTGAGTTCCAAGAAAGCATATCCAACCTCCTGGTGTCTGAGGAACAGGGGGAGGATTCTCCCAGTTTACCCTTCATCCTGCAATAACCAATTAAAGCAAACAGATAAATGACAGTACATGCACCCTGATTAGCACTGACACAATGTCTGATACAAAATAACAGGCAAACAGAGAGGACTGAAGCTGGGCTGAACTGAGGTGCTAAGTTGGTATTAGACAAGTCAACAAACCTTCCTATGAGCAAGACATCCCACCTACCTGCACAAGTGCCATGGGCTCCTTGGTCACAGTATCTTTGACAGATTTCCTTTCCCTCCAAGTAGTTTTGTTCTTCTGGGGTAGGGATGCTGTAAATCCCTGGACAAGTTTGAGACGAAGAAAATACATATTTCAATATTTTAAATTACAAATTACGTAAAATACAGATTCTAATATTTTAATTTCTAATCCTACAAAACAAGTAAAATTAAAAAAAACCAACCATTAGGCTCCTTTCTATCTTTAGTAACTAGTATTAAGACTCCATCCATCTCAGAAAGAAAGGCTGAGCCTTTCTGTTAGCACAAAGCAAAGGAGGTGTTTGATCTCACCACAGAGAATTGGGACTCCAGGGGAGACAAAACAGAGCAAACATAGAGAACCTGCCTCTGCAGCAATCTGCCCTCAGGAACCCATAAGTGGTAAACACTCTAACTGCAGATTTTTTCCCCCCAGTCTTCATAACTCAAGCTGCCACTGAATCTTAATCCTTTCTTTTATTTCTTTGTTTGGAGTCTGGCTAGGAGACACCAGCTCTCCATGACTGACAAAGGTAGGGCTCACTGACTTGAGACAGTAGCTGTTTTTCAGGTCTTAAAACTAAAGGTTTAACCACAGACTTGGACAGAAATACAGTAAAGCATTTTCCAAATCTGAGTGGATAAAAAAAAGATTTGCACTTAATGTAGCAGTTGCAGCCTGCAAATGCCAAATCCCATGAGCAGGTTGGCTGTTCTGTAATATTAGGACGTTTGTTCCACTGTCCCACATCCCTGAAAGTGTTCAAGGCCAAGCTGGATGGGGCTTCGAGCAACCTGGTCTAGTGGAAGGTGTCCCTGCCCATGGCAGGGGGCGGAAACTGAAAGAACCTCAAGGTCCCTTTCCAACTCAAACTGTTCTCTGATTCTGTGAGAGAACCGGTCTCTAGTGCGAGCAGGGTAGCTCTAGAACCCTGTAGCTTGTGAATGCGGAGCTAACAGATAACATGTGCAAGGCTGGAGCGTTCCGGCCTGGCCCCTGCACCTCGGAGGCGGCGATCGGGACCAGGCCAGTGAGAGGAGAACGCCGAACCCCCCGACCCGCACCCTGCCCGGCCCTGAGGCGGGTCCTGCAGACCACAGGGCAGGCGAGGGCGGGCAGAGCCCCGCTCCCCCCACCGCCGTGCCGGGTCCCTCACCGGCCCCAGGGGCGGCCGGACGGGGCTGCGGTGGGAGCCACACCCGCCCCGCTCGGCACAGCCCCGCTGAGGGGAAAATGGCGGTGCCCCCCTCTACCCTCACGGTTGTTGTAGAGCCCCTCCGTGTCCTTCCGCCGAGGAAAACAGTCTCTCTCCCATTACCCGCAGCCTCTCGGGACGAGGAGGCACCAGCCTCGGGGACAGGGAGAGGGCAGCGCGGCCGCAGGGTCAGCACCCGGACCCTGTTCCCGGGTGGAGGTGGGATGCGGGCACGGACACGGCTGGGCCCCTCCGCGTCCCGCGCTGCCATGGCAACCCCAGCCCGCGCGCTGCCCCCGGCAGGTCTGCCCACCAATCAGAGAGCGAGAGCGCGGCCAGCGAGCCAATCAGAAGCGAGAACAGCCCGGCCGAGCCGAACCCAGCCGAGCCCATACGAGCCCGGCGGAGCCCGGCCGAACCCAGCAGGTGACGCTGAACCTTTATGGACTACATGTAGGAGGCAGAAGGGTTCCCAAATGATCTGTCCTCTCCTCACCTGTTCTGCTTGTTCACCACTTGCACCAGGGATAGCAAACCTTTGTCAAGATCCGAATATCTCCTTTCAGTGTAACTGAAAGAGTCATTTGGGTGGATGGGACCAAGCTGTCATAATAATCTAGTTTTTAAATTAATAATTCTAATACATTCATATGCTGTTCAGCTCATTGCCATGATTTTCCCGTTTTCAGCAAATTATAATTAAGGATGAGCAATAAGAAACCAGGAATATGGTTGCACCAATAATTCAAAGCTCCTAGAATGTTTGGTGCTGCAGCAGTTAAAGCTGCAGTTCACATTTAACTGTGGGTAACCAACTGTAAAATGCCACTGCCCAGTTGGGTTCTTTACTGGCCACACCAGTGAATTATAAGGCAAATGAGTCCTTTTAATGCTGCCTCTTTTTTCCAAATCTGCCACCACCCCTTCAGTCCCCATAAATGCTGCTGTTGGCAGGCGGTATTTCTTTACATTAGAAACTTGGGAAGAAAGCAATGGTGGTGATGTCTCAGACTGATAAATTTTTCAGTCTGACTTGTCCCACATTCTTTCAGATTCCATTTGTATCCCTGGCAACCTAGTGCCTCTCACTGTGAGACTCCACAAAGTTCCATCCATGAGTTTCCAGGTTTACCCACACAGTAAATAAAATCCTAAAAGGTTTGTTTGGACAGCCCCCATAAGCATTTCAGCCCTAGTTAACCATTTTTCTCCTGGAAGCCAGACAGAGGCTTTTGCCATATGACATTCTTTTATTATTCCATCAACGGCTGTAAATTTAATTATATTGCAAATGGGTATCATTCTCAAAATATTTGCTGTTTTCTTTTTAATCACTGACATTTGAGCTCTTGCATCAATTAAAAATTCAACCATAATTTTTTGAGGAACAACTAGAATATCATTTGAGGGTTCAGGGCATTTGCTTGGGAGCCATTATACTGCTAATACCCACCGGGCAGGGTGGCTTCCTGCCCTCCCTGGGAATGTGAGTTTTTTGCTGGGGATTCTGTAAGATCATTTAAGCCCTGTCTTGATGAGGAAAGTACATGCTTATTCTGAGGCAACAAATTGTCCTGAGGTTGTTTTTCCTCACTCCTGCTATTTTTCCTTGCCGCAATTAAAGACTGAACCAGCTTACGGAGGTCATCCTTGGAGCCACCATGTAACCAAAACTTAGGTACTCCCAACACTCGAGCCTGGAGCCATAAGTCACATCGCTCTTTATCAAATTTGGGTCTTTCGTTAGACCTCGCATTAAATTTGGATCGGGGAGTGTTAACTTGGCAGTCTAGAGGCTTCTCCATGCGTGAATTCGCCCAGCCCATACGGCGCCTGTAAACAAGGAGTTCATGTGCAAGCTCATCCCAAGTGGTTATGGAGCTTTGCTGCCCCTGTCTAACTGGAACACGACCACAACTGGTGTTTGCGCTATTCAGAGCATGAGCAGCTTGCAAGTGGTCTTGAACATTTGCAACAAATATCTTAAGAGTATCAGGGAGGCCCCAAATGAGAGGAGTTAACTGTGCTGGATCAATGGGAGCTCGCATTGGAGATTTCCTCTTAGGGTCTCTCATACATGGCCTGTATGCACGCTGCCTTGTGCACTGAGGCCACCAAATCAGAGAAGCTGGGAGTTTTAATTACCAGCAGGTCTCCTCTCTCCTCAGGCTCTAAACCACCTGCCCAATACGCAGCACGTGCAAGTAAGGAGTAATTGTGATCTCCTAGGCATGATAGCCAGAAATACTCCTGGTCCCCAATAGTGTCTCGCCTGCTCCTCATTCAACAAAATCCTGTCTCCCCCCGTAAGGGAAATTCGCCACACATACTCGACTGCAGATTCTTCTTCTCGCCTTGAATACTTTTCCTGTAATTGTATTAGTTCCTCTAGTGACCAGGGGATTGTACACACAGGAGTGCAGATTTCATCATTGCTATCAGCACCAGAGACCAGCTGAGAGTCGAGTTCGGGGATCCCCACAATTTCATCAGCATTACTATCGTACCACATGTCCCCATCCCAAGTCTCTGGGTCCACATAATGTACCAACTTGTGGAGACAACTATTCAAAACAGGAGCCTGCTTTTCCATCAGCTGTTTCTCTCTGCGCTCCCCTGCAGCAAACAGAGTTTTAAGGTGGTCAACCTCAGTTTTAAGGTGGTCAACCTGGGTTTTAAGGTGGCCAGCCTTGGTTTTAGGATGGCTGTTCTCAATCACAAGCTGATCAACTTGGATTCTCAGTTTTTCTCCTGTCTCCCTCTCAAAGGCTAAGGATGACTTCAATACCTCATTTTCTGATTTCAACACATTGTATTCTACATCAGAAGTTTGTTCAGAAGCAGGGGTATTTTTATCTCCTTTCTGTGCACGAGACAAATAGGCTCCTAAAACTGCACAAATTACATCTTTACCTTTTCCCACTTTAGATTTTTGCTCAGCCTTACATTCTTCAATGCATTCTACCACTTTCTTTTCATCTTTCCAAAACTTTTGAGCCTGTTCCTTCCCAGCCTGGGAAGAGGCATATTTATGTTTTTGCAGCAGCCTATCCATGGCAATCCTGCTGGCTGTGCCAATTTTCTGTCACATAAAATGGGGGGTGTTTGATCAGTCTGTCAGTGCGCCAAGAAAGATGAGACCCTTGTGCCCGACCAGCTTGTCAGTGCCCTGGAATGGGGACCCCACAGCACAGCCCACTGTATCAGAGGGGGATTTGACCAACCAGTTCAGGGGCATCAGCAGAGTGTCAGAGCCAAATCCCTTATTTCAATTTAGAAAGAGAGGCCCCCTCCTGGATCCCCCCCCTCTTAGTTTGTATTTTATCAGTTTTGTCAATGTTATCCACTGAGAGTGGCTGCCAGCGCCCTTGAAGGGCTCACACCAACAGTTTATGGATTAACACACTTTATAAATATAATACAAAATTGTGACAGGTTGAGGTTGGAGGATTGCTGGTGATAGTATCTGGCTGCAAAAATATATTCAAAGCAATACACAGACAAGCTCTAATCCCTAACAAAAGCTGTCTCAAGCAGAGTACGGTTCTTACCCAACAGCTGTGCCTGCAGGGGAGAAAACAGGTTCAGCACCTGACTGATCCCAGGAGCTACAATGGAGTCTTTCCTAACTTCTTCCCATTCTTAACTTACTTTTATAATATTTCTTTACCTTTAGGTGGAGCTTCAGTGACTTTAGTCATACATCATGTTCAGTGAGGCCCAGAAACCACCCCTAAAGCCTTTTTTCCGCTCTGATCTGCTGCTTGTAGCAAGTTTTATCTCATTTCTTAGTATTTTCATCATGGACTGTTTCCTCAGTAGGAGGTAAATTAAACATGAGGAAAACCAGAACCCAGGAATACTTACCCTATAAAAACATAACTGGACTTTTACGGCCTTCCTGAGAAACATGACCATTTTCCTGCTGGTCAATTCTGTTGCCCTCTTGGTTTTGGGATTTTTATTTTGTTATATTGCTTATGTAAGGCCTAGCATTATTTCTGCTGAAATTCCTGAATTCCAACGTGAAGAAAAATATGGTTTCCCATATAAAAAGGAAGGGGAATGAACACTTATACATCTATCTTTTTACAGAACAGAAGGAAAGTGAATCAACTGTAGGCTTTGCTGAGTGACAATCTTGTCAGCACAAAGCGTGTGGAAAACAGCTATCACTGGCATAAAGGAAAGACAAGTCTGTGCATCAACCTTTGGCTTTGATGTAAGAGATCAAGAGCACCCTGGGAAGAGACAGCAAGGTAGAAACTCTGGGAATGCAGAGCACAAAGCAGTGATAATGGCAGGGAGCACAGCGCTCTACTAAACACACTTGTTCTTTCGGCCTCAGAGCCCAGTGCCAGGGGTACAGCCTGGCTGACTCGCAAGGTTGATTGCTAATTTCACATCTTTGATTTCTGGAAGAAAGATGCCATTTAAGTGCCATTTTCAAGGAGTCCTTTTTAAGCATTTTGAGTTCAAGGATTCTGCCAGTAAAGCAGATGGATGTAGGTCCATTCTCTGGCACTGAGACCTGCTGGTATGGAATATGCTGTGACCATACTATAACCCTGAAACAGTAGCTGTACAGGCTGCCCTTGGGGAGCCGTCCTAGGCCATTCTAACTTCACAGTCTGTGCTCTGGAACTGCCAAAAAGCAAAGTAATTGCAAAAAACAAAGTGCTTGCTGGCCCAGGTCACAACTCTACCCGGCCTGTTCTGACCGTACTCAGAACTGCTCCCTGGAACCTTAAAATTGCTGGTATAGATGTAGCTTATCTGTTTTCATTATCCAGCAGCTTATAAAGAGCAGAATAACAGCACTTCTTTTCATATCCTATCCTATCATATCATATGATAAAAAGCTAATAGGCACTCCCTGATACAGTCACAGAATTACAGAATGGTTAAGGCTAGAAGGGACCACCTGTGGGGGTCACATGGGGGGAATACTGGAAAAGAAAGTTCAGCAAGAAGGAGTGCATGCATTGGCTGTAAGGTGACAGACCAAATTAAGGCCACACTGACAGACCTGAGCGGTTATGGGAAAGACCCAGAAACCCCTTGTAAGGTGATAAGGCTACACCAAAAGGGACAAAGAGACTCCTGAAGGCTTTCAGAAAGACCCCAACACCTAGGGAAGACTTCCCAGCAAGAGACTCATAGGATCAAGGAAGGATGGAATGGTATGGAGATAGTATGGCCTTTCTTCGCCAACATCCTACCTGATGTGAACTCA